GGCTCCCCTTGGGCGCGCCCCGGCCTTTAGGCCAGCGCGGTGCCGGGCGCCTGGACCCGAGCGGGGCTCCGAGCAAACTTTATTTTGGCAGCGCGGCGACCTTGGAGAGGCCAGTGGCCTCAGAGAGGGGTGTGTGTGGGAATCCTGGCGGAACTTGCACTGGCCCTCGAGGTGGGGGTGGGGCACGTGGCAACTTTCTGGGAACCCTCACCTTGGCCACCCCTTGCCACAGGCCTCTCCCGGGACAGGGGGTCGCCCTCAGCTGTGCACTCGTGTCAAGTGCTCCGAGCAGGCCGTCACCCCAGCAAGCCCCTGCTCTTCCCCCATTTTCTTCCACAGCAGGAAGAGGTAACATGTAAAAGTGTCCCTGAGCCCCTCGTGATGCGCTTCCGTTTTCTGTCTTGCAGGCTGCACATTCTCTACCATCCGGCCAGGGACGAGTGATACCAGGAGGCCGCGCCCTGCCCTGCCCTGCCCTGCCCCCGCCACACACCCACCTGCTCGCCTCATGCTGGGCCCTGCCCGGGTGAGGGTGCAGCGCCCACACGGCCAAGATGATTGATTTCCTGAAGGAGGCTGCTGGTGTCCGCGCGCAGGCCTGTGGCCCCCACAGGTGGGAGAGTGGCCCCTGGTTGAGCCGTGTGGCATTGCTACAGAGGTGAAGAGGGCTGGAGGAGAGGCGCCCAGTTCAGAGCGCACGACTTGGCTTCACCAGGAGACGTCTGACTGCCAAGGACTAAGACCTGTTGGCAGCATTGCAAGCGGGCACTGGGGCGTCAGGCTGCCCGGGTACCTAATGCCCTCACCTCTGGCGGCGGCGTCATGAGCCAGTTCCAGGTGCCCTTGGCCGTTCAGCCGGACCTGCCCGGCCTCTATGACTTCTCTCAGGGCCCGGTGATGGTGGGGGGCTTCCAGGCGCCCAGCCTCCCTATGACAGCGAGCGAGCCCCAACTCCGAGGGGGTGCGGACGGGCGGAAGAAGCGCAAGCGGTGCGGGACTTGCGAGCCCTGCCGTCGCCTGGAAAACTGTGGTGCCTGCACCAGCTGCACCAACCGGCGCACGCACCAGATCTGCAAGCTGCGCAAGTGTGAGGTGCTCAAGAAGAAGGCGGGGCTCATCAAGGAGGTGAGCTGGCCGTCAGCTGGTCCAGGGGTGCCCGTGGGAGGCCGTGCGTTCCCGGTCCACCTTGGAGTGGCGCCAAGGATCCGAGGACCCTGCCTTAGGCTCTGAGCTCGTGCCCTCTTCTCTCCGTTTGCTCTGACCCCAGGGCTGCGGGGTTCAGCAGTGTCCCCATAAAGTTCTCGAGTGGGTTTAAGAGTTGGACCTGGAAGTTGCGTCTGTGTTGGGGTCCCTGGAGCCTGATGGTGTCTGTTAAGGGTCTAGGCTGGTGGTCATGTTCCAGTGTAACAGTGTAGTTTTAGGCTGTCTTGGTGGACTGGAGATTTTGTTAAACCTTCTCTTGATTTTTCTCCGGAAAGGTGTTAAGAGGGCAGGGGATTTTGAGGAGATGAGCCTGGATTTAGTGTCTGGTAGTGATTTAGTGTCTTCCAACCTGAAGGTGGTTTTTATCTTTGAGGGAGCATCTGACACGGGCCCTTGGGGCACAGAGGTAAGAGTTGAACCTATCCTGTGTTTTGGAGACTGCTGGAGACCGCTTTGGCTGTAAGAAGGAGCGCTCCCTGTGATTGGAATGGGGCTAGCAGAGGGAAGGAGGGGCTGGGGTGGGGCCAGAGGCCAGTGACCCACTGGCCATCCTTCCGCTCTGTTCTGTGGTGGCCTGGAGCTTAGCAGCTCTGACTTGAGGAGAAGTTGGCAGGAGCTGAGCACAGTTGTACGCCAGGGAGGAGCAGCGGAGCGCCTGGGACTCCACGCGGACTCGGCGCTGGAGGCCAGCACAGGAGGCTCTGTTCCCCGAGCGTGGCCTCCGCCGCATCCAGGGGCAGCTAGCCTGGAGTCGCACCTGATGGGGCGTGAAGCCCCTCGGCTGCCCTGGCACGTGTTGCTGTGAGGGGCTGGCGCACCTGCGGGGGTTTGCCCGAGAGCTGCTGTTGAGGACGGGGTGCGGTGGGCCTGAAAGGGAGATCCCAGCATTGGCAGCAGGAACGCCGGGGTGTGTGGGGGCGAGCCTGCCCCATCTGGCCGCAGTTTCTTGCCCCTGCTTGTTTAGGTTGCCCTTGGTGACCAAGAGACCTGACCGTGTGCTCTAGCACCTGCCTCTGATTGAGGGAGACTTGTGGACCCCAGCTCGCGGGCTCCCTCGGCCCCTCTGTGTAGCTGGTGTTGAGGGGAGTTGCCTTCCTGCTGGCCCTGTAGTTGTGGGTCATTCCTGCATGGTGTCATGATGGGAAGTAGCCGGCCCGCTGTGCACCATGGTGCTGATGTGAAGAGGCCCTTCTCAGTCTGCTCGGTAAAGTTCCGTGCCTCTGCTCCTTTCCTGCTGCCCCTCATGGCCCCCACTCCCCACCCCTTGGCGCATGTCACCTGTCCAGCCCTGATCTGGGAAGGGCAGGCTTCCTGCGCTAGACGTCTCTGGAGCTGATGATCCTTGGGAACGGCATTCAAGCTCTCCTTTTTGAAAAGACTTCCATCCTTGCCTGAGTGAAGGGGCCAGCGTGCCCTCCTGTGTGTAAAGTGCTCACTGGGAGGTCACTCTTAAGGTACCCACTTCTGGGAGGTTGAAGTCTAGAGACAGTCCCACTCTTTCCCTAGCCTTCTACCCCACTAAACCCCGGGGTCAGGGTGGGGGGCAGCGCCCCAGTGTAGTGTCTAACTGTGGTCTGTGGACCAGAGCTGATCCACAACAGTTCTTCTAGACTCCAAGGACAAGGAAAAAGGGATTTCGGTGGGAGGGGGGAGTTTTTCATTAAAGGCAAGTATTTTTTGGCTTAAAGAACAGTATTTTAATGACGAATATCATATGCTTCTCGATGAGCCTGGTTTATGAAATGGAGGTGTTGTTGGAAAGTTTTTTTCTTTTTATGTGTTAACGAAGCGGCTGCTAGTGTCTGTCGCTGTGGCTCGTGAAGTCCGGGAGCCTGAGAACCACTGTCTAGGCGTGGTGGACACTGAGGTGTCTCTGGCACAGATGCCCAGGGAGATGCTACTTTGAAGAGTGACCCTCAGGGATCATCGGCGGCTGGCAGGCCCTGGAGACCACAAGGCTGTCACTGTTAGGTGTGAGTCGGGCGGCCACGTCCCGGGCTTGAGGACATCAGGAAAGCAGGAGAGAGATAATTATTTCTGAGTTGTCTTAGGTTTTCGCTCGGGAATAGAATGTTAGAAACTGACCCAGCTCTTCAGGTGGGCAGACACAGCGTCCCCAGAGCCTCCTGCCCCACGGTGCGTCCTTCTTGGTTCTCAGTGGCCTTGCACCTGTGACCCTTCCTGGCCTGTGTCCTGTCCCGGTCTCCCTGGCTCCCGTGTAGTTACTCTGGTGTCTGAAGCAGCATGATAGCGTTTCCTAAGGGAAGAAGCACGTCTGGTTTTTCCCATCCTCCGTCCTCACTTCTCAGTCTCCATCCCGGGGATTCCTGGTGGTAGTGGTGTGTGGGGGGAGCCTGTCTGTTTACCAGTGAAGTTCAGCCTTGTCAGATCAGAGCCAGCCCCCAAGATGGGCCTCCCTGCACACGTTCTGGGGACCGTTGGCTCTGGACATCTGGGCTACAACTGGAGGAGCAGACCTGAAGGTTTCATTCCCGTGCCGCAGCTTTATTTTTATTCCTGTCTCTGGAAGGTATTTCAGTCTTGGGTGGACGTCGGTGGCCAGTTGAGTTTACATTGTTATTATGTGAATGGTGTCTTGGCAACGTGATGTGGGATTTGCCGGATGCAGGAGCCGTGGAGCTCGGGACCCCGACCTCGCCACTGAGAGAGGTGCATTTGTCATCTCCCCACGTGGCAGGATTTCTCACGTGCAGGATGAGGGCAGTGCATCTGCCGTGCAGGGTTCTTGTGAGCGTTGGATGGCATGTGTGGAGTGCCTGGCACAGGCCTGTTGTAACGGACTCGCGTGTGTTGGGGGTGATGACGGTGCAGGGTAGCTCAGCTCTGCTGTTCCTGGGGTTGCGGTGAGTCATGCTTGACTAGACAGCGTCTAACAGCAGCAGCAGATAACCAGCGCGTAGTACGCACCGTCCAGAACAGCGTTGATCCCCACGCACAAAACCTGCGTTAACTAGCCTCTCGTTTGTAGTTGTCGGATGTAATGTGTGTAAATAGCTGTGAGACCACAGCTTGTTCCTAGAGGGACTGCAGGCCAGGCAGGGAAGAGCTTGCCCACTTCCTCAGTGGCCTGGGGGCTGGACACTTGAGAGCAGGGGCCACGGCGCTCCTAGATCTGGCCGAGAGAGAAGACAGGAGAGTGACTCTTCATAAGGTAGACAAGAAAGCCTGCGTGGGAAAGGATGGGTATGTACTTGGGAACGTTGATGGACCAGTGCTCAGCAAGACGGAGTTAGTGGCTCAAATGCTTATGCTGATTTGAAGAGGGGGCACCCTGAAGTCGGGGTGCTCCCAGCATCAGATCACCTGACAGCTTCTTGCGTGGTCTGCTGGTAGCTCTTTGTACGACTGAGGGTGGTACCAGTTCTACCAGCAAACTGGTGAGGCCGAGGTGTTGGGAGTGTTGAGAAAAGACCCTTGTTAGCATTTGTGAGCCAGGGAGAAAGTGAGACCAGGAGAAGTAGACCTGGGAAAACTCTGTCTCAAACACAGCTAGTTACTCACTCCATGGCCACAGACGCCACAGGGAATCCATCTGGAGGAGAAGGATGGCTTTCTACAAGATGCTGGCATGACCTTGTGGGCGTGTGAGAGAGGGAAGGTGCCGGTCAGAGGAGGACTGAGACAGCGGGGTGCAGAGGCTGTCCCGCAGAGAGGGTGGTGGTGAAAGGCCACAAGTGTTGTGTGGAAGAGGGGTGCGTGGCGCGGGAGACGGAGTCAAGAGCTGTGTGACTTCTTCCGAAGAATGGCAGGAAGTCCATGGCCAGAATGTGCCAAGTTGATGGAAATAAACAAGACAATAAGTTGGGCTTGCTTTGTTTTGTATTTTAAATTCCCAGCAAGAACAAGAAGGAAGAGGTAGGCTTACAATTTTGGAGAAAGTAACCATCAACGGAGCAGCCCAGGGGGCCCGGTTGTGTTGACTCAATAGCACCCAACACTCACTTGGGCTTCTGGTGACCATA